AGGGCTCCAGGTGCTGCCTCCGGAAACAAGGGCCAGGCCCCTCGAGCGGCGCCCGGGCGCACGGCACCCGTAGCCGGCTGATGCCGGGGATTCCAAAGTACGAACTCGAGCTTGGAGCCGGATCACTGCTTGCTCCGGCGTCTCTTCGACACCGGCCGGTCGATCCTCCTGCTCCGGCTCGCCATCCTCGAGAGCCGATTGTGCAGTGACGGATTCGTTCAGAACCGGGTCGTCGAAGGCTTCTTCGACCCATGTTTCGGCGGCATCCAGGGCCGACGACCTGGTCGGTCTGACGATCGCTCCATCTTTCTGCATGGTAATCATCTCTGGCCCTCCTCGGCCTGTGCCGGCCCGTTTGAAAGATGATAAAGCCTCCCGTGGCACGTCTGCGAGGAGGACCCGTAGATTGCCGACTGCACGCCTCCTCGGCGTCTCGGCGCTGACCTCGACCTCGCGAACCACTGCCAACTCGGCCCCATCTTCTCCAGTCAAGCCCTCTAAAGCCGCGGTGACCCGATCGTCCACCGGGAGTGCAATCATAAAGCCTCCCGAGCGCACCCTGAGCACGAATGCCACTGCTCTCCAAGCAGCGTCCTCCGATGTATTGGCGAGGCAGGCTGGTGCCAGAGGTTTCTGCGGGTCTGCTACCTCGGCCAGACGCCGCACCTCCTCCTCGCTCAAAGGTCGCCCGGCCACGTATGCAGTCGCCTCCGCGCGGGAAGCGAATGCGTGGGACACGCTGCCGTGTTGGGGACGATCTCGCAGACGGTCAAAGCAGGCCTCCTTGTAAGCACGGAAAGTAGTGCACACGAAGCCTTCCGGATGCCCGGTGCTCCGCAAGCAGATGTAAGTCTCTCGAGCCAACCTGCCCGCGCAGCTCGAGCGATCCGGCCGTTGGCGCTGAGCTCGCCTGCTGGTCCGATTTCCCGCGCAAAAGCACAGTAGGCGCCCAACTCGATCTCGTTGAGCTCGTGGGCCTCGTAGAGCTGCACAAGCCGATCCCAGTCAGGAGCAGTAGCCCTCACTGGCGCGAGCGATTGCTCGCCAGCAAGTGGTCCAGATTCGGTCTGGGTCCCTTGATCCTTAAGCTGAACTCGCTGTGATGTGCCACGAAGAGTAGAAACACCCTCGCTCTCGGCTGACACTGTGATTCGCAACCCTCGGAAGTTGAAGCAGAGAGTGTCCTCTTCAGTCGAGCGTGTGCTCATTCACGGTACTGCGTCAGTCGTTCCAAAGCCGCCCCGCGGTGCCGAGCAGCGTTAGGCTGTCCCTCCAGAGCGGTGGCAACCAATCTGAAGAGGAATCCTGCTACCCTCCGAGCTTGTAATGACAAAGCCAGAGTAGCACACAGAGCTCCACAGCAGCAACCGATTAGCAGAAGGAGAATGGCGCACAGCACAAGGAATGAACCACTACAGCTACTCTGCTGCTGGGGCACCCAAAAGCGTGCTTCTCGAATCAGATCCGAGAAGACACCGGCCCACATAACCCGAAAAAGCTGAAGAGTCGCTCGTCACATCTCACTCCGGACGGTATACTGGCATAGAGCATAGTACATGACATGGTACGTATTATAGTGTCTCCTCGAGCTCATGGAATAGTCTTTCGTCCAGAACAAGTACATTGTACAGTAACGCCTATGGTCTATAGTATAGTCTGCAATATAGTCTGTAGTATAGTATTATGGTGTATAGTATAAATCTGCAATATCGGTCTGTAGTATAGCCTAGAGCCGACAGCATAGGCTACAGTAGATACCAGTTCGGTTTCGTATATAATTGAAAGCATATAGATGCTACATAGTACCACACAGTCGTATGCTTTGCAAAATCTTCAGCCACTGTGGGATAGGGAGAAAAGTATATTTTGAACCATATGTAAAACAAGACAACATAGTTCAATATGATCTAATGGAAAAGGTCATGAATTACGGATCCTTATGGCTTTCGGCGCTTTGACACTTGACGACTTGGTGAAGCGAACTGGGCATGAATTTGTTGTGCTGTCAGTTCTCACACTCGTAAAGCCATAGGCCTGATCATACTCTTATATATATATATATATATACATAGATCGCTCTGCTTGGAACAACTGTCAGTTTACGTAACATTTAACCTGTAGCGGGGTATAGCTAGGCGCGAGTTTCGAAACACAGCGTATGTTTCGAAACACGCGCCTGCCACGGCCCCAGCCCAGTAATTAATTAACCCATTAACACATTGACCCGTTGACCCATTGACCCATTAACACATTAACCCAATCATTCTGGCCAAATGAACTTGCCTTAACCCGTTAACCCATTAACCCATTAACCCGTTAACCCATTAACCCATTAATCCATTAACCCAATCATTCTGGACAAATGAAATTGCCTTAACCCATTAACCCATTAACCCAATCATTCTGGCCAAATGAAATTGCATTCTGGCCAAATGAAACTGCCTTAACCCATTAACCCATTCACCCAATCATTTGCCCAACCCATTAACCCATTAACCCAATCATTCTGGCCAAATGAAATTGCCTCAACCCATTCACCCATTAACCCAATCAATTGCCCAACCCATTAACCCATTAACCCAATCAGTTGCCCAACCCATGAACCCATTAACCCAATCATTCTGGCCAAATGAAATTGCCTTAACCCACTAATCCATTAACCCAATCAATCTGGCCAAATGAACTTGGGAGTAGAGTCCAGTCCCACTTGGGCAAATCATTGGGTTAATGGGTTGGGCAAATGATTGGGTCAATGGGTTAATGGGTTAATGGGTTAAGGCAAGTTCATTTGGCCAGAATGATTGGGTTAATGGGTTAATGAGTTAAGGCAATTTCATTTGGCCAGAACGATTGGGTTAATGGGTTAATGGGTTGGGCGAATTACTGGGTTAATGGGTTAAGGCAATTTCATTTGGCCAGAATGATTGGATTAATGGGCTAATGGGTTGGGCAAATGATTGGGTTAATGGGTTAATGGGTCGGGCAAATGATTGGGTTAATGGGTTAATGGGTCGGGTTGGGGCCTCCTACGGATATGTTTCGAAACAGACACTAGTTTCGAAACCAGATAGCAGAATCCATGAATAGAAAAGCGAAGAAGCTGAAATGCAGGGGGGAATGACTACTTACCCGTATAGATATACATATATGGGAAAACTTCTAAACAGCTCCCACAACAAAATGTCAATTCAAAGTTGCTGAAGTGTTTCGGGGATTGGTTCAATCGGATGGACGATGTTGTGATGGGAACAATCGCTGTTGAAGCACGAAGAGGGGATGTTAACATTTAGTTGAGCTCAAACTGAGTTAAGAAAGCGGCAGAACACAGCACAAATTTAACAACAGTTGACGAGTTCAAGCAGCCCGAGTGGTGCATACAACATGTAAAATTAACGTATATTGCCGACGGTAGAGTAGGCATAGGAGAGATTTACAGAGCTGTTGTAGAAAACCACAGTATGACTCAAGTGAAGACTGATGAAATATTGGGAAGTGTTCAATATTTGGTTCAGGACAATCGTAAGAAAGCGGGGAGTTCGGAAAAGAGCACAACAACACCAGTAGATAAAGGTGATTGGGAAGAGAAACAGACTTGCATAGACAGACGGAATCAGGAAGAATCAGAGTGCTTTAAGAAGAAACGTTAAACTAGTATGAGATTGAGTTTAACAGTGAGGGAGAATATGTGAAGTTAAAACACCCGCTACAAGCGGTGAATGAACTGCGATTTAGTATTCGTTGCACCATTAAGACTTATCAGTGCAATATGCCAGGAAACTCACGTAGCGTGTATTGAATGGCCACTGCTGCTCAGACTCGTCGAGTGCAGTTTTGAATACATAGCAGTTTCGATTATCCTCGTTGAATATATGCTCTTAAGTACCAGTGGGTACAATGCGCATTTCGGTTTAATCGGTGTTTTTCACCTTGCTTCGTACATCTTCATATATGCAACACATCTAAGTATTCATTTTACACTCGCAATCCCTATATAGTTAACATTACTGACTGTAAACTATACATTCCCTACAACATATTCAGGATAAACATGCAGGGTTAGGATTTTGCAATCTATCACTATGCTTTATTCAAGGGTGAGTGTTTCTTTGTTGCTTAGATACCGAACTTCCCATGACTAACGGAGTAACACTCTATACCTTTAGGCGTGTGTTATCTTACCTTAAAGTGGCTAAAAAGTATGTGGACGATATGAACTGATTACAGATGCTTGAGACACCCTTACGTATGTACTTCACTTAGCCGTTGAAAACTACTCAGCAGCTATTGCATATGTATTGAATGCAACGCTGTCGGAAAATGCGTATGTTTGATAGATACTGTAAGTGGTCCAAGTAGCTGCACATGATACACGTGAATATTGCAGGTTGGTTCACGAACCAGAAACTATCTTAATGCACATGTATAAGCTTAGCTTTCAGTAAAGAGACCTTCCTCCTTTAGGCTTATTGTTGTTCTTAATCTTAAGTTCAGAGTTTCAGCGTGAAATGCGTTAAATTTCTTAGGAATGGAATTGTATGGTCGGGGCAACCCTCAGATATAAAATTCAAAATATTGGCATATTTAGGCTTAGGGTATAACGGAAATTAACTCGGTCAGATTCTATCCTCTGGATTTTGGATCTTAAGATTGTACGTTTGTGCTGATTTGGGGCTCAGGCTTGCCAGCGGGTTCGCTTAGATAGCGGGGCAAGGCAGATCGGGGCGTTACCGAGACCCTCACGACGGAGATCTAAGCGAAATTCAAAGCAGCAGGCAAAAGGCAGAACGATCAACAACGTGATTCCCATGTATGCTGGTGGCATGCCACGACTGAAGCAGCAAGCAGTCACAAATTGGCGCATTCTGGCGCTTGAGCAGTAAACAACATCAGCATGCTGGCCCCCCAACAGCTGGCAAAAACATCGGAAGAACCAAAACAGTGAATCATGCTAGCGATCGACTGGCTACTCGTAGAGCAGCGAGAGCTAGTGCAGGACCAGCCTGAAGAGTATGGTGCCACCAGTACGCTGGGTAATACAGAAGCTCCTGGCACACTCAGCGAACGAGGTGAGTGGGCCACAACCCCCCCCGGCACAAGAAGAATGAAGCATCGCGAAAGCATGTCGGCCAGACACCTGGGGATACAGTTACCTGAACACTCTGTGCAACAACCCAAATCTACGTTTCTGCTCGGTCCCCCTTCGATGGCCTGTCCGCAAACGGCCTGCGCAAAACGCGGAAACCTGCCATAATCAGGATTGTACCTTGGCGGACTGTGGGAGCATCTGGCCACCCAAGTTTCGCACGGTACCAGAATGGCCGGAACACGTGTCCAGCTCTGTGTGCAGGAGCTGGGACTCAGAATTTGGGCACAAAGTCCACCTGCGAGTCTAAGACCGACAACAGAATGAGCACAACTTACCAAACCAGAGCTTGAACGCTTAACGACTTTTTAGCAAAACTCAATCCTGAAAGACTAGAGGTGCTAGCGGGCCTCTTCTTCCCAACAAGTTGCACTTGCCAACTGGAGGCAGCCTCACTGGCATTGCAAGGAAAGCTCGAAAAAATAGAAAGCATCGAAAAGCACGGTACAGCAGAAGGCGTGCCTTACGGTTTGCATGTACGTGTGGATTGGCGTCGGAACAACTAACATGAACTTCTGCTGGCGTCTGGCTGTGCAAATCACCAGCCGAGATCGTGACAGAAGCTTCGGTGAGACGCTCGTGGCGGCAGTCGGTGTCCGATGTCCCAACATACTGGTGTACATCAAACGGGCACAGAAACCAGACACGAAACATCTCTGGACACCAGTCATCAGACACGAAACTCCGCCGAACTGATCACGCGAGACATGCCTGTCTTGCACACTGAGGCAGACAGCGCACATCGTAGCTTCGAGAGCTGATGCGTGCAGGACACTCACAGGAATGTGCGACTGCTCGAGATGCAGTGGCCATAGCAAAGAATGACATCAGCTCCACCGCAGCGTCACGCTGCATGCCGATGCCGTGTTGTGATGTTCACGCTCGAGATAGTTCATTGAACATCATTGAGCTGCGCCCTTCGAGCGCTTCAGATGAGCATCAGGCTCGGCCTTGCCGTTGCTTGCCAAGTGCTTCAGCATGAGAAATTCGCCGGCCACCTGTTTGGCACGGGCGGGCAAGGGGAACTCTCGCTGTGCGGGTGAGGCGGCAGGCACAGGCCAAGGCGGCCAAGGCACGATAGGATCGTAGAGCTTCGGGCGGTCGTCGGAGATGCACGAGGGAATCGTCTCCACTAAGGCATCCTGCAGTATACAAAGCAAAGAGAGAGAAGAGAGGGCAAAAACACATGACATTTCTGCCGCCCTTCTGTGCCTTGTTGAGATTGTGGAAGAAGGCCAGTGCCAAGCGCCTTCCCCAGCTTGCAGCTTTGCCAGTAGGGGGATTGATGACTCGGTGAAGTGTGGAGCTCCACTTGTCGTTGGTCCATCGCCTCATAAGATCTCCCAGGTTTATGACAAAGCCGTTCTCGACGAAAGGAACATCGTGCCATCTGGGATTCTCCTTGTCCTTCGAAACCTGCAGCCCAGGACCTCCGGACCTTAAGATGGTCACCGTGCCATAGTCCGTATGGGCTGAACAACGGATTGAGCCTGCAGGGATCTCGGTCATCCCGGCTTGGTCTGGATAGTTGTTCGATCTCAACGCCGAAAGGTGCTTGTCAGTCTTTCCAACAAACCAATCTTCAGGCAGGTCTAGTGCGATGGCAAAGGCCCGGAGGAGCCTCTGAGCCAACTGGTTGGCATGGTCGTAGTACGCCTTAACTTCACTCCCGGGCAGGCTAGCGGCTAGCGTGTGTGAGATGGCTGACATTTGAGCAGAGCAGCATCCCACGCATCGGCAAAACCCACTGGCTCCTGTGGAAGCTTCCTCGGAGGCATCCCAGCCGCCGGATCTTTGGGACCCATCTGAAACATCTCCTGCACATTGTGTTCCTCTGTGGATGTCTCATGAGCTGAGCACTGAGCACCATCATAAAGTCTTCCAGTGTTCTGAGTGTTCTTCCAAGGGTTCACATGTCCAGTGTCCGGCTCTTGTTCAACCAAGGAGGCTGAGGCTTCAAAAGACTATGTAGTTTGTCGTCGCATGCATCCCGAAAAATCCTTCAGCAGGCATTCCTCGGACATGGCTCACGAAATCTCACGAAACTCGCGCGACATGCAAACTTCTTATTATTCTTCTTTCTCTTCTGATTCTTCAGCTGGGCTTGAGGGCAGTTTGCAACATGTGCCTCACGGCAGCGACTTCTCGATAGTCAGGTTCTGACTCTGTTTTGCTTGAGGCTTGAATGACACTCCGGCACACGCGCCAACCCCTTGGTCTGCGACTGTGCTAGTAAGCAACACTTCGCTTCGAGCAGTGGGTGCTCTACGACTCGGTCGCCTTGAGATCTCCGGCCGCGGCGCTCTTGCCCCCGCCATCAACCTCCTTTCCTCGGGATAGCTGCTCGCCGCCCAAGACGGAATAGCCTTGGTGGAAGCGCAGGAGTTTCTGCCCACACATGGTTGTTAGGCTGCATGACTGAACAGAGCCCAGGTGGCAAAAAGAACGTCCGGACAAGTGACCGTACGGATACTTCGATTCATCCTCGCTGATGAACTTTTTCTTCTCGTCCAACGGCATGTCAAAGAAAGCAAGAGTTTTATTCCACGCATTGTCGACTACTTCCTTGGGGATCCCATGGTTGACCACGACGAAGAAGCCGATCTTCTCACAGGCACGACCAATCTCCTGTGCCACAGATCGTCTCCCGGCTGCATCGTCGCCAGAGAGGGCTGAAATGTCTATGATCGGCACCGGCGACTCCTCAACACCCCGGCTGCGACTCCTCTCCCGAGTCTCCGAGCTGGGAGTATTCGAGACGCCCATGGTCTAAACCTTCTGCCGTTACTTTGAGCCCAAAGCCTGAGGTTTTACTATTTGGTGGAAGAGCCTGTGGCAAAAAGCTGATAAATTTTAGCCCCGGACTGTACCATCTTTGTGGAAGAACATGCTCGTGCCTGCCAATGCCAGGCACCCGAAAAGACAGCACAAAGAAAACCAAAGCTGCTCTTCAGCCTTCCTCACCAATGAGCAAAAACTTCCATTGGTTGGTAACAAAGAAGTTATTGATGGCAGACTGGTCGACCTGGCCACAGGCCGCATATCAGAAAGATCATCGCGTGCATCCGAGAACCGATCAAGGTCCGAGAAAAGCAGCCGCCTCCTAGATTGGGGATCAAAGCGGCGCATATCAAACACCTCTAAGACATGCATACGACTGGCAGCTCGTGCTAAGACTTGCAGACTCTCATCACAAATATCACAACGCCATCCCAATTCACCCATGAATTGAGTGAAGTACGCGAGTCCCGAAGAAATGGGCCTTGCTAGCCTGTCGCATGCACGACCCGATCCATTCGTCATCGTCCCAGAAGACTTCCGGCAATGGTTTCCTTGCACGGACAGAGGAGTCATCGACACACCGTGGCGGTCATTGTAGGGTCAGGAAGCTACGGATTTAGATTTCTCAAGGAATTGTCATGTGTCAAAGATGAATCCAGCAAGGAGGTCAAGATACCTGACAAGAAAAGTCAAGCTCTCAAAGCCTGAAGGCAAACAATCGCACACCGGGACAACTCAAGACATCAGCGGTTCGGTTGCTTTGCCCGCGAGCATAAGCACCCCTTGACCAGCATGCAGTTCATCTGAGTTCAAGTCGGGACGAAGTCTTTTTTCAGCCGTTTCCAGCCACGCAGACCAAGCCTCAGAAACCGGTGGCCAGGTCTGCTTGCAAAGTCCGGCCACGTGCCGCCGCTAACTAGTATAGTGGTAAGTTATAGTCGGAGACTGCCTAAACTAAACATCAATTGAAAAACTGAGTTCTTCAAGTCCCCACAGCTGCAATTACTTCCCTTGCTCAGCAAGCTAGTGACCTAGGACCTAGTGCTAAAGCGCGTCATCTCCTGAAGGCTCATATTCGAACACTTAAGGATGCAGAAATGTTACATCCAGTCTGACAAAGCTGCTTACAGCTTAAGGCACTGCCCACTCCGCATGTGAGTCACGGAAGCACGTATCTTAGGCTTGGGCCGAATCTGCATGTACCTCTGCCACATCCCCAAACACAGTCATACCGTGAATCAAGCTGCGCTGCTCCAGCCTGTCTAGGTTCCCGGCTTCGGTTTGCCAGTTCTAAACTCTTTCGGATTCTGAAACTCCCGCCTGGCAAGCATAGGGATGTGCCGAAGCAAACTTCACCCAGAGTGTCGAGGCAGACTTTGTAGGGCGCAGGCACAGCTTTGTCAAACTTCCACAGGTATGGTTTGCTGCTGACCTCTGCTGAAAACAGGCTGCTTCCACGGCTCAAGAGATGACTCAGAAAAAGACTTAGTCACAGTTGCATGAAAACTATACTTCAGACTCTTGTCGATATTGACGGGGCTTACTGTAAGGCAACCGCATCCCGCATGTTGTTCGGGTAGTAGTCAACCTCGACGGATTTGCCCGAATCCACCCACTACTTAGAGACAAGCAGGCACGGTTGGTCCACACCCAGTCAGGCGCAGACCCACTCAAAAGGTATCTTTCCCATCAAGTAGTCCAATGTCCTGAGACTCGGTATTTCAGTGTGCAAAATGTAGCAGCAAGTTTGGGTATCCTTGGTAAGAGCCTCACCAGTTCATTGCCTTCCACTTGTGGGCAAAGCCATGAAGGACCTGCATCTTCATGCAAAGGGCGTGCAAAAGCTGTGCTTGGACCAGACCAGCCCCTGCTACTCGACCCCGGAGTCTCAACAACCATCCGTGGCTTTCACACATGCAGGACATTGGTGATGGAACCACGAAATTCGGGTCTATATCACCAACATCAAGCACTGCTACTGTAGCTTCCAAGGTGACGTCGTAATTCGGCCGAACCAATGGAAGACGTGCCAGAAAGACGTAAGCGTGAAGCCCAGTTCTCAACGTGACATTTCCTTCCTGCAGTCTCCAGCGCAGATGTCTGGAGGCTACTCACAGTGCGACAGTGTAAGCCGCCGACCAACTCTTCCACCGTCACACCTCAACCACCAAGTCTCCAGCAGGGCAGATGGATTTTGCGCATGCTGCAGATGATTTTCATGAGGATCGGCGAGCCAGCCACTTGGCACGAGACGTGGGATGTCCAGCTCGAACTTCTGCACCTGGTCTCGAGAAGCTCTTTGCCAATACTAGCAGTGCTCCAACCGTCTAGTCTGCATACAACAGGGTCTTCCAGATTCACACTGCCTTCTGGGCAAGTCCTCGATTCAAACCTCGGTCCATTCAGTTCAGGCATCAATACGGCTGCAAAGCTTCGACGTTGCTCGAGTCCGGCAGACGAGGCCGTCTTTACTTTTCTTCCTTACGAACTGCAGCTCAAGCAGAAGGGTGTCCCTCTTGCTCAGGTGCTGCCTAAACCGGTGCGGAGATCCACGCCCGATACATTAGCTGCAAGAAGCCGGGGAGGCTTCGGCCTTCCCTCCTCGCACGGGTGACACTGGGCTGCTCCAGGAAAGCAAGCAGCGCTGCTTCATAACACGGTGCTGTCTGCCTTATGAGCGCCAGCACTCTTCAAAAAGAGCATATGATCGCTCCTGGGGAGGACAACCATTCCTTCATTATCACATGTCACGCGCCGGTTTTCAGCAGGTGACCCACAATCCACAAAAAGCCTCACATACGAGCAAAACGAGAAGATGCGAAAAGGAACTGTCTGCGACTGACATGGTTCAACCGTCTCTTGCAAGTGCCTATGCATCTTGCAACATCAGAGTGGCATGATGACCATCCATAATTTGTTGCCAGGGGGCCATCAAAACGTAATATACTTTCTTCCAATACCTGCAAGCGTCGCACAGCTTCGGTGATTCAAGATTCAAGCATCCCTTCGATTGATTTCAACTGCTGCCTTTTTGCTCAACCTGACTGTGAACGGTGGTCACATTCCTACATGGCAAAGGTTGTGGCAGTAAAAGGATGAAGATGGAGATGTCAGTCGGCCAAGCATGTAACACGGCCGAGACACCTTTCGATGAGCCGCTGCTTCGTCTTCTTGCGCCTCTCGCGACACTGTCCCCCACATCACATCTTGTCACATCGCTCTCTACGAAAGACATACTGGCCTGAGCTGCCTTGCTCTTGCTTGGGTTGCTGTCGCTCGGCTTTGCAGCACGTGGAGCAGAAGAAGAAGAAGCAGATTTGCTGCTCGAGTGGAAATAACCAGATGGTAGCGCAAGATCCAGTAACTCCTGCACGAATGCATCATCAATCTCGTGGTCCGGGAAGAGCTCCACCAAGAGGTAGTGCAAGTCATCAGGACCGATGACCCCACTGTGTGTCATTTCAGAAAAGCAGCCACGCATGTCGAAGACCTGCTCTTCCGACAGCTTCACTTGCTCGGCCACCAGAGCCTCTCGTCTCCGAGCAGCCACGCGTGCGCTCTCGACGACCCTGTTGCACAGCTCCGTCGATGCGTCTAGCTGCCTCACAAGGGAGTCGCTAAACTTTGCTTTTCAAGCACGCAAAGGACACGATTATTTTTGTCAAGTGGCAAGAACTCGACTCCGCTTTTGTGACAGTCCTCAACCAACGCCCTCACATCCATCACGCTGCGGCAACTGTCTGCCACCAAAGAGAGGTCCATGATCAGCTGAGGCATGTCAGTGACCGCAATGGCTTTGTCATCTGTCCACTTGTGTATTGTGTACCAAGATTTGAAGGCTGCTTCGCGTTGTGACTTTTCTTCTCTCCGCAAACTATCCACTTGTTCCAAGAAATCAGGGAATCTGTAAACAGCAAGCCTGTTATTGCGAGTGGCAAAGTTGCTCACTGTTGTCATATGCAGTCTTCCAACAGTCGGTAGTGTGCCAGAGTCCATGAGCGCCATGACCACCTCCTGCGTGCCTAGTAAACCGCGTTGGTGCTTCTCCTCATGTCATGAAACTTGCCAACTGATCTCGTACAAACTTATTAAGCTCTAGCAGGTTCATTCCTTCGTATGCAAACATGCAAAACACTATTACCATTCTTCTCAGGCAACATAGCGATAGAAGCATCTCATCATCGCAGCAATTTCGCCAAAGTGAGCAGCCTCAGTTCGCTCACTACTAGCAAGTGCTTCGCAATGCCACTGCGTGCTGCCCAAGGGCCTCTAATGCTGGTGCAAGGCCTGCCGATCGCGCGGCTCGCTCTTCCATTTGGCCCTGGAAGGTGAAGAGCCTCACCTCAACCTCCTTAGGCACATGCGGGGTCAAGAACAAGCTGGGTGAGCTGTGTCGAACTCCGTCTTAGCTTGTTCCAAATTGACCGCCAGTCACGAATCGGCCTCTGCATGCGGTCCAGTGCAGCAAATCCAGAACTTCCAAATCTTAACACAAAGCTTCCTGCTGGTCCCCTTCAAAGCCCAAATCTCTGTTGTTAGGGAACTGCCTCTCCCTGGGCTTGTGCCGGGGGGGGCAGTACGTGTCCCTGTTGGAACAAGCATCCAAAATTGCCAACAATAAGTGTCTGTTGCTGGAACATTGGCAGGCTGTTTTGGCGAAAGTCGTGGTCCATTCTTATTAACGGAAACATCCTAAAGACCGATTTCTGAGTGTTGGCGATCGTGGGACTTGTATGATGCTGGCAACAATGGGAAATGGGCAGCAATTTAGCCACACTGTGAGAGAAAAACGTAAGCTTTCTCTTCTGCAACAGGATGTTGTTGGAAAGCCATCAACTTCGCACAACCTTGCAAATCCGCGATTAGTTTGTGCAAGAAGCAACGGACCAAGAACTCAAGGGTGATGGAATCACAACATGTCGAGGTGCGTCCCAGACATGCTTGGGAACTAAGGGATTCCGGGCTGAATGAGCCGTCTGAGAAAAGCAGGACCGGAATCGACGGCCTTGCTCGTCCGCCGGGTCAAGCTGTTTTGTGTCACAGCGAAATCTTCTGAATCTGACCAAGCTTCCGAAGCAAGTCGCTGGAAGTTTGCGAAATCGATGGTTTCGTCGCTGTGCTTGGAAACCTTGACAGACTATGAACTAGTAACTAAGAGCTGCTGCGAATCATGGCAGCAGCTGGCAGAGACATGGCCTTGTGTTGCTGTGCCAGCTCCTTCACGAAGACTGGCCAGAACCTTAGCACGAAACAAGCGTCAAGAAAAAAAAGGCTTTACGATGCCAACCCGAAGTTTCCCATGGCACTTGCACGATGTGTATCCTGCCAATCGATCAACCAGGTAACTGTTCCATGATGTCTCCATCCAAAACCGTGATGAAGGAATCCGCATGTCGCCGCAGGGCTTCAATGCAGTCCGAACAGGAAAGGCTGCCCGCCATTGCAACATCCAGCCTTGTCATGTGAATGCAGCTATGAGTGTGGAATCTCGCAGCAGATACAGACGCCGCGCTTTGATGCGACTCCAACCAGAAAACTGACTCACGGAAGGGGCCTTCATGGAGGTATTTCGGCTGTGCCCTGCAACTGAGTCTGAACCCTTCCAGCATAGGGAAGGGTAACTTGGCTCCAGCTACATTTTTCGGACCGCCAGGTGGCTGGTTGAAAAGTCCGAGCAATTTCGGTGACTTGGCCTCGACAAGCTTTTGCTCCACCTCGATACATGAGATCACACCTTATGAGCCTTGCTGGCATGCATTGGAGCTCTATGCTGAACATCTGCGTATGGACACTGTCATCTGTTCACAGATGACTGTGAAGACGGATTGGACACGCAGCAGCACAAAGGCGCTAGCCTTGGGCACGACTTGAAAGACGAACTCCAGGAAATCAACCTTGAGTGCAGTAGGAGTTGCTGCCGTTTTTTGGGCCCTGGGCCCTGAATGGATGAAAGGACGAGTGGCCAGCCCTGCAGCAATGCACTCCCGAACGACTTCGTGGACAGCCTCTGTGGTGCAAGCAGGCTTCCGCTGTATGGAAAGCAAGATAAGCCGTTCCCTTGGCGCCTCCTTCTCGTGGTTTTGTCGACCAGCCAGGCCAAGATCGGCTAAAGCTTGGCGAAGCTGTGGACCTCCTAAACCCTCCTGGCCAACCTGCACTCGAAACCGCAACGAAACGATTGAAGCTTCAAATTATAGAGTCGTCTCATAGCCTCCAAGAGGTGACAAAACGATACCGAAAGCCAAGACTCTGCAACTGCGTGATCGTAGGCGCCGCGGAACCTCTCTTTCTTTCCTTCCGGAAGCGCCTCAAACTCCATCCGCTTAGCCTGAATCAGTCTTTGCAGCCTTGTGAGTGTGTGAGGCTTCTTCTGCTTGTCGTTACTTTTGCGACGATCTGATGTTTGCCTCCCCACACCCAGACCATCCATGTCAGCAGACTGGCGCCGTCCGACCTGGAGAGACATGCGCCTGGCCAAAGACGCTCGCCTACTTGCCGCTTGCAGGGAGGCTTGCTTCGACACTGAAGCTTCTTGGCTGCTTCTGTCTTTCTCTGGTGTTGGCCCTGTCATACTTCGCTGCACACAATCACAGTCAGCAAGCGCTGCACCGCAAAGGGGGCACATCGGCTCTATCAGCACCAACTCGGTGCACTCGGTCTCATGTCGGACATCGTCCACTTTTCCATGGACCTTGCGGCGCCTTCTCGCAGCCCACTCGGCAGCTCTTGCACGATCTTCCGCTGCTTTTGCCCATGCACAAGCTCGAAAATGACGACCCATCTCCGCCGACTGCAGTGCGGCATCGTGTACAGAAAGCATGGTGCCAGTACCTCGCCACGTTGCAACCTGCCAGGGCCCAGCAGCCATGGCTTCTGCCAGGGTCTTGCGGGATGCAAGGTGGCGGAGACCCCCAGCCGGGGCCTGGGCAGCCCGCTGGGCCGCCTTCGGAAGTCCTTTGCATGGGCTCTGAGTGTTACGATCACCTGGAGGACACTTCGGTCGAGACTTCGCTGCGTGACGTCGCTTTGGGCTTCTTCGCCAGTTCTCTGATGCGTTTCCTTCCGCCAACCATTCAAGGTCCACGGTCATGCATCCCGCCAAAGACAACCAGGAAGCATCACTTTGCACACATGGTACGATTCTCCAAATCAGCTTCCACACTTGGGCCCGGCAGCATACAGGCTTGTGACATGTCGTGTACATGAATATGTAAAGTAAAACCAGTAAAATGAACGAATGACTAGCTGTACTAGACATAGACGTACTCGGACTTAGACACCCGCAGACACAAAAGAAAAAGAGTGCATGAGCAGACGCACCCCAATGTAAGATATTGTGAGTCTGCGATGCACTTTTCATGGAAGCTTCCTTTTGTACTGAGATGTCGACAGCACTGCAGCACCTCACCAAGCTGCGTTTCTGACATGAGTCATGCGGGGTACCGTCATCATACATTCCTCTAACGAGTTCCTCCCTCTCAGCTGCATGCGAGAATTGCCAAAGCAATTGGCCTTCACTCAACACAGCTTGAATGCCCAGGGAACATGCAATTTAGTGGCCTCTGAACCAACAAGCCCACACGCCTGCAGGTCGACGGAAGGATGCCGGCAGAGCCCGTTGTCGCCGTCATGTGTGCAGCTCCGGAAAGGGTGACATTCACAGCTTGGTATCGGGAACTGGGACAAGGGACTAACCCACTAGCCTGTTGAATTGGCTTTGGCATTCCTTTTTGAGCGATGGTCGCGAATTGGTTCACTGTGCTGCCGACATAATATGTTGCGCAGCACCATTGGCCTTCTAGACTTGGCGCTTGGGCACTCGGAACAGCGAACTCGTGTCAGCATAAACTTGCTATGCAAATGCAGCAGAATGTACTAGGTGGTCACAGCGGCTGGAAGGCACCTCCAGCTTCTGCACACCGGTTCTGAAGTTCCGCTCCAGCTGGTCCATGTACTTCTTCCTGCACCGTGTGCGCTACCATCGTTGCCAAACCTTTCAAGAAACTCTTGCGGGACTCTCACATAACCCAGGCCGATCGAGACCCATCATGCTTGAGTTCTGAGCTACCAACAAACATGGCAGCAGGACGTGTCTTGGTTTGTCTTACCACTTTCTTTGGATTTGTACCTCCAGACAAACACTCTTGTCACACCAGTTGAACTTGTCTGCAAACTACACACATCCAGGAAACTTGGCTAGACTTTCGGGACACCGACAACATAAGCACACGTAAGAACACAGCTGCGTGACAACCTGGCATGCCAAACGACGGTGCCAAGCAGTTACTCATATGCAAGATTGCGAAACTGCGTTCTGTATCGGCCACAGTGCCAGCTTCCAACACTGTTGAAGGCACCGCCCCTTAACGAGCATGGAAAACTTGCATTATGCACAGCTGCTATCTTACAAGACTTCGGCAAAACACGAGTCCAGCACAACCTGTGCATGAATCACGGCTGTAAGATTCTTCCCGTCTTCAGAAAACACGGCAGCACACGAAGCGGAACGTCGCACGTGAACTCTTCCACGAACTTCTTGAACTTTCTTTTGATCGTGTCTTCGAGGCCCTGTCGGCGAGCTGCACACGAAACACCGTGTGGATGAGCTCATGCCCAAAGGTCTCTCGTTGCAGAACCCAACCAGCACTCCTCATCCTCAACGTTGGGTTCAGCGTCATCAGCTTCGCGTCCCGGGATGAAGCGCAGCGTTTCATGCTCTTGGAACATGGCGTTGAAGCACCTGTCGCACGGTTGGCGAAACTCTACCGGGTCGCAACATCACAGATGCAAGCATGTGTCATGCGCCTCCCTCGTGCCAGCACCAGGCACTCCGCTCCCCGTGCGTCTGCAAGCTTGGGCCAATGCGCAAAAAGCCGGGTCACCACCACCAAGCTGCAGCTGCATTGGAAGACGCTACGGTCTTGACTGCAACCTGAAGACGAAAGCCTTGCATGCGCTCAGTTTCGAAAACCATGTGATTGCATGAATTGCTAACAACGAAGCATAATCCCAAATTCGTGTGTACGACAACTTTGCAAACAAGTGTACACGAGGTGTCCAAAAAAACAATGGAGCCGCAAGTGATGATGAGAGAATAAGCTTCGGATGTTGTAGTCAACGACCCGAAGACTCAAGGAAAACATCGAAGTTGGAAACCCAGCAGTGATGCACAAGGTGACAATGGCACGTGAAAAGAAGAACATTATGCTGCTAGCTGCTCAAACAGCGAAACCCACGCTTCGCGGCGACGAAGACGACCACGACGACCACGACCACGACCACGACCACACGACCACGACGAGAAAACCGCGAAGGCCAGGACCAGCGCGACCACAGTGACGACCACGACTAGGTCCACTACAACAGCCACAACGATTTCGACGACCGCGACGACTGCGAGCACCACGGCAAACGGGAACACCACGACCAGCTGACCACGACGACGACTGACACGACTCTCGTGCGGTCGTATCTGTCTTTCTTCTGGGGTCCAGAGTTTACTGGGAGAACAGTCCATATGAACTGTTGGACCTTTCGAACGCTCTGATGGCACACCACTGACTAAAGACAAACCCAAAAACTGCTAAGTGTTGAAAATCGTGTCGTCGCCGCTCTATTGTCATCTTGTCAACGGAATTGTCTTTTTCATCACAATGGCCGATGTGGCGTCCCACAATCAAGACATATTTGGCGGACCTGTGCAACTGTGTTGCAGCACGGCTCCAAACAGTACCTCACGTTTGTGAAAAACACCTGACAGGAACTAGCTGTGAAGCGTTTTTGGGCCCTTGGCAGCCTCACTAAACTAAACAGTTCAACATCTGTAAATAGGTGTAGCGGAAGGCAGGCTTTGTGGATGTGGAAAGTGATGGGAAGGGAGTGCACACAGTGGGTTCGAGGACTTGGGTGTATATGCGGGCTTTCGCAAGTTTGCAAAGGGAATGCTCCGAGGCCCTGGTAGTCAAAATCGCGGATTCGAACCCATAGGTTAACACTGAGATGAAAACGGCGTTATAAACACGCAAAGTCCGTTTCAATGCGGGTCGGAGTTTCGCCCAAGTCCAGTCGCATCATGATGTCCTTGTGCGTCGAGCCGTTGCTGCTCAGGGTGACACCAAGGTATCTGGCATGGGTTTCGATGGCAAGCGGCGTGCCGTGAAGAAGATGGAGTGTATTATAGGAGGTGGGTGAACGCAGGAGAATGCTTTCATTCAGCTTGAAGCGCCGGGTGCTGTGGGTTTCGTCTCGCTGGAAAGTACGGCGTGCGGAGCAGCTGCTCTTTGTGTGGCTGTGCCAGCAAGCAGCGCTGTGTCATCGGCAAAGGCTACATAGCCAGTGGAGAAATTGCCCCTTCCGTGTTGGTCGAAGTCGTGCTTTATCATGCAACGGACGATCAAGAACAATTACCGTAAGGGTGCAACCCTGTCTGATGCCTGTTTGTGCCTGACTTGGTGTTGACGTATGTGCTGCTGTTGCTGGGTGTATCGTATCGATCGCTGTCTCCCAATCTAGGAGAATGGTCTACGTGACTGCCCGGTGGCTTCCACACTGCGGATGGGCTGATGCTCCTCTCCTTCCGTACGCACGGGCTCTGTGCGTTTGACCTGGAGCATTCTAGCATGCAGGCTGTTGACTTTGCCATTTGCGTTCCGTGCACGGTTTAATATTATTGACTTGAACTGAGGAGCAACTGCAGACTGCCGAAATCACTTGAGCATCAACAAACATTACGCACATCCTCGGTAGCCATCAATTCCTGCTGTTATCCTTTGCTTGCGGTGATTTATCTTTTAAATGTCACTCTGGTAACAATAACGTTTTAATTTTGCACGATGATATAATGGTCGACTGTAACATATGAACATCAAATGCCTAGCTATGTGACTTGAGAATGAATGACGACCAGCAGCATGTTTCAAGGAATGTTTTTACATACGAGTTCACAGCAGAAACAATATGCATAAAAAACATGGATCCCAAGTAAATGCTGGTGCGCTGGAACTAACTTGGATCTGTGATAAAATGCTCACAAAGTTGTGCTCAATACATAGCATCAACGTATGCGACCTTATTCTAAGATTCTAAGTTTCAGTTAACTCTCAAACGAGTATTCAATGAAAAACACACTGAAGGCCTTCATTTAAATCGTAAACCTTGGCCCGCGTATCCGCGCAGGCAAGCATCAGGGCCGAAACCGGAAAAACGAGCCCAATCACGTTCTCTTCCATCGGCAAAACGGCATCAGCGAGCCTTGGCTGCAACAACACTCGGTCCCAAAACTGCGGTTGAACCAACAAACACACAATGAAACAGTGGTGAAAACGGGGTTATCAGCAAACGAGGTAGGTTCCCTGCCTGCTGAAGAGAAAAATGAGTTGAAAGATTTGCACCTCTGAAGTGTTTCGAAAGAAATGCCAAAAAACATTTAAAGGGATTGACAAGCGAAGAAACATTTTTTTTGGCGTGGACAGACCTCAAAGACAGCAGTTGCTGCACTCGGTCCCAGAAGAGGCTCTAGAGACGTCACCAAGGGGGCGGCGGCTGCTTTGGCACTTCTAACTTGTATTCATAGAGACCCATCTCAGAGAGGAAAGCGTGTGATAAGCACTGCCGGCTGACGGAGAGCGGAGTCTTTTCATCTCAGCTGATCCAAGCCCATGTCGGATTCAGTCACTCAGAAAGAAAGTGCCCCCCCCCCCCGACGCTGGCCAAAGTCCACATCAATGTGGGTGCGGATGTGCCGACATCACTGACCTGCTTGAGTTCAGACTCTGCGTGCACTGTCCTCTTCTTCTTCAGCGTCGCCTCAGCAAAATCGACACCCTGGACCCACTTCAGAGGATGCTTTCTTTGCCTGAACCATGCAGT